ATGCACTCAAGTAACACTCACCATTTAGGGGGCATTGGATCAACGAGAAGTGGCGCTGGCAACGGTCATTCACTGATGCGGCGTAAAGGCAAGTCTGAGCATTCACAACATCGTGTTGAGACAACGATGAAGCCATCATTTACTATGGCAGAATCCAAAATTATCTCAGAGAGTAACGGGAATGGGAAACACTGTTGCACGGCCTTTGAAACTGACGTCGTTACTCAATGTCTTTCGCTATTGAATAACGTCGTTGTAGGAAAGAAGTCTGAAATTTCTATGACGCAGCAGGCCTTTCTTTCTTTAGGTGGCGTGCCACTTCTTCTTTCATTGGTGCGAATTTTATTGGCAGCATTCTGCTCCAATTCTTTTTTTTCCTCCAATGGGAATGGAGGAAGGAATGAGCTTCTTCTCGCCGTGCTTGGCTGCTTTCGAGCCTTCATTCTTGGGAATGAGGTGGCACAGAGGCAATTTGTGCATGAGGATGGAGTACACGTGCTGCTTTCTCTCATTGCCGTCTTTGTTGGTTGGTGGCAGGAAAATTCTATGAAAAGTCATGATGCGAGCGCCGCGGACGATATCTCACTGCTTGCCCCAACGTTGACAATTCTTGCTGATCTTCTGCATGAAAGTAACGAGGCGCAGGAAGCGTTTTTGCAGTGGTCCACGTACAACATGCAGAGCCCAAAGGACATGGAGGATAACGGCTGCACGAACGCGACACAACTGTTGTTGCGCCTCTGGGAGGAGGAGGAGGAGGAGAACTTGGAGCAAATTACTAAGGACACTCCGCCTCAGGGATTTGTGAATTGGGGAGATAACATTGAAGACAACGACCCATTCAACATGGGGGATTCAGAAAAAGGAGTGGTGACGGATGTGCCGGAAGAGAAGAAAAAACGGGTGTCAAATGACAGGGCGGGACCCGTGGCAGGGAGAAGGGATTTGTTGGCGAAGGAAGTTGACAAAAGTTATGGTGACTGCAACGAACCGGTGGTATTGCCAATCCTTCATTCCGACCGGTGGGGCTTAGGTCTGATTGGAATCCATGATCGCAATTCTGTCAAGACAGAACTTCAGAATCGTCACAAGGAGCTGGAGGATGTTGATTTGGAGGAGGTTCACAGTGGAACGGCGCCCAATGCGATGACGCAACGAGCACGGCGACGGCTAGCTGCATCGCTGCACAGTGTGCTTGGGATGCATGCAAAGGTGTACGCATGTCTTGCTGCAGTTGGTTTTGTTCGTCTTATTCATGTAAAAACGAGTGCAGTAGAACGAGTGAAACTTTTGCATGCTGCCGCATTGCCGTCGTTGTGCGAAGACGAAGTATGGGGTGCCATAGCTGAATCAGTGGACTTGCATAATGACGCTGTGGTCCTTCCTTTGCAGAAAGATGGCAATGACCAGGGGGATGGAGAGGCCGAAACTCCTCCGCGAAGAGATTTCCTTGTGAATCCTATCATTCCAGATTCCGATCAGCTGGTGAAGGTATTGCTTGATGTGGAGGCACGTGCGACAGAACTAAAACACCTTTCAAAGGTGTGCATTCACACGCACATAGCGCAGTGGGATGAGGCGACGCAGCGGTTTCTTCTCTCACGGCTGCGGCAGGGGACTGAGAGCGTCAATTTGACGACCCTGGTGCAGCAGGCACGCACTCGTGACAATCCCAGCAGTCTCGGGAGAACAGGGAGCATCCTTGAACACGTCATGTCCCGCGTTGGGCAACATGAAAAGAGACATGTCGAATCCTTAGCCGCGTCGTCGAGCCTACCGATGGGCACTGTGACGGGTAGCGGGAAGTTTTCGACGTCACGGCTGACGCTTTTGGAGAAGAGACGGAAGCGAGATTCCATGATACGGAACAGTTTTCGAAGAAGCCAATTTGCTGGCCTAGAGGGAAAGCCTCCCGCTGATAAGGAGATGTAAAAAAAAAAATTTTGAAGCTGTAACTTTGAGGGTGAGGGACGCTTTTTCTTTGCATTTCTGTCGGCAAATTAAAATAGAGAAGACAAGGGAAAGGGAGGCCATAATGGATGTATAGCAGGTGCATTTGATGCATGTGCGCGCTCTCACAGAGCGCAAGAGAGACGCCCTCAGCAAAAAAGAAAAGAATTATTTGTATTTGTATTAAGGTGAAAATTGAAGAAGTAAAAAAAAAACTTTCTTTGCTTGTCTGTTGTCGGGAACGGAAGAAGGTGACGGCTCGAATTTTTTACTTCTGCCTCCTTTTTTTTTTTTTTGTTTTTTTCTGTGTGCTGCTGGCGGGCGTTTATTTCCATGATGACTACCTTTTCTTCACATCTTATTGGAACCTTTTCTATGAGGGGGCCATTAGGGTACGGAAGAGACACGTTGTAAAGGTCTCGAGCTGTTGGAAGGCGGGGATTCATGCGAGTGGGATGTTGCTTGCTTTTGAAGCCAATACGGCAGCGTCTATGCACCGCCAGCATCTCTTCCCGGCACATCATGCGCTGGTGTGCCACATCATCGTCGAACATCAACTCCACCGAAACGGCTGCGAAAATGCCTGACGATGATGTTTCGGGGTCACTTTCAGCGCCGTCCCTGTTGAAGTACAAGATTGAACCGTCCACGGCAACGATGGGCGCACCACGACCGCCACATGATGATGATAGGGCATTTTGCACTCTTGCCTCTTTCCCACCATCGCACATTCGAAACTTTGCCGTTGTTGCGCACGTTGATCATGGCAAGACTACGCTGAGCGATGCCATTCTGCGTCGCACCGGCGTGCTGAGTGGATCGCAGGTGGGGACGTATACGGATCGTCTCCTTGTGGAGCGTGAGCGGGGCATTACCATCAAGGCGCAGACGTGCTCTATTTTTGTTGTGCGGGATGGGGAGGAGTTCCTACTCAATCTCATCGATACCCCTGGGCATGTAGACTTTCAGTACGAGGTCTCACGAAGCTTAAGTGCCTCAGATGCGGCACTGTTGCTTGTTGACGCTGCCCAGGGTATTGAGGCACAGACGATGGCGCACTTTCATATGGCACTAGATCGAGGCTTAACCATCTTGCCTGTGCTTACGAAAATGGACGCCGTGCTCAGTGATGCTCCAGTTGACCGTGCGCTGCAGGATCTGGAGGACTCTACGGGCCTACTGCGCCGCGAGGTACTGTTCACGAGCGCCAAGGAGCAGGTTGGAATAGAGGCACTTCTTCACGCCATTATTGAACGTGTACCTCCGCCAACCGGTCTACTGGGACTCTCCGACTTGCAGCAACTCCCGCCTCTTCTGCCCGGCAGTGCGGAGCGGGCTGCAATGGAAGAAAAGATGGTGCCTCTGCGTGCGTTGTTATTTGACTCATGGACCTCTGAGTGTGGCGGGGGTCTGCGCCGTCCAGCACCACGAGGCGGTGAAAAAGTCAATAGTGGAAACGACAATGACAGTAATTTGATATGTCTCGTGCGTATCATAGACGGGACACTGACAGCCAAAACGGTGGTAACATTTTACCAGTCGCAAAGGCGGTGCGAGGCGCTTGAGGTGGGTATCATTCATCCCGAGCTGCGGCCTACGGCAGCGCTTACGGCGGGGATGGTCGGCTACGTCGTCTTCTCACGGGTGCGTGGTGAGGAATTTTTTGTGGGTGAGACGCTCTACACGTTACCAACTCGGAAGTTTGCACGGGAGGATATTGTTCCCGTACCCGGTTTTAGACGCGTTCAGCCGGTTGTTTTTGCCGGTTTTTATCCGGACGAAGGAGAGTACATCACTCAATTGCGGGAGGCAGTAGAAAAACTACGAGTGAATGAGCCCGCCGTCACAATGGAGCCTTTAGACTGCCCCGCGCTGGGATCAGGGCTGCAGCTTGGATTTTTGGGTATGTTACATATGCAGGTTTTCCAGGAGCGTCTTCTTGCCGAGTTTGGTCAAAGAGTGCTCGTGACACCACCACTGGTGCAGTACAAGTACCGCGAGGCGGGGAGTGATGAAGAGGAACCCTTGAAACCTTTGACTGTGCATACATGGAAGTGGATACATGAAGGTGCAGCATGTTATTTAGAACCGTACGTTACCGCCACCATTATTACACGACGGGAGCACTTCCAAGCGATTGATAGTGAGGCTCTGCGACGATTTCGCGGGGAACAATTGGATATGCGTGTACTAGATGACGCGCGGGTTCTTGTGCGGTACAAGATGCCTCTAGCAGATCTTGCTCGTGGATTCTTTGCGGTTGTCAAGAGTCTCTCACACGGCTATGCTTCGCTTGACTATGGCGATCCGGTTTACGAGGAAGCAGATCTCGTGAAGGTAGATGTGCTGGTACAGAAGTCACGTATATCTGCACTCTCCGTCATTTGTCCAAGGTCTGAGGCCCCATCTATTGGTAAGCGTATTGTCTCAAGTCTCAAATCCAACCTCACACGTACCGCCGTTGACATCCCACTGCAGGCAATGGTGGGGTCAAAAATTGTCGCCCGTGAAACGGTGAAGGCATATCGAAAGGATGTAACGGCAAAAATTCACGCAGGTGACATTTCACGCAAGCAGAAAAAGTGGAATGATCAGAAAAAAGGAAAAGAGCGCATGGCGCGGCGTACGGTGGGCGCCGTCACGCTCGATCAATCTATTTTGGCTGCAGCAATGGGTGCGATATCTCTGTGATTTGCCGTGGGGGAGGATGCGACGGTAGATACATACATATGTACCTATACATATACATATATATATATATATATGACACAGGGATGGAAGTTTGCAATTCTCACCTTCCAAGGCATGTGTACATCTCAGCGTGGAATGCTCTACTGAGGTGTCATGGAGCATTGGCGTTTTTACGCGTTACATTTTTCGCGGTGTCGCTCTTCAATTTTGATTTTCCTTTTTGTATTATTATTATTATTATTATTATTATTTTTCTCTCGGTATTATTATTATTATTTTTTCTTTTGCTTAGTGGAGAGGCTTTTTAGAATCGCAACAATTTTATTACATTATTAGACAACGGTCTTTATTACACCTCCATGATGCAGCGCCTTGCCACAGCACGTTTCATTCCTGTCTCCACGTCTCTTTATTTCTCACGCCGTGCCGTCAGTGACGAAGAGGGCGGTGAGAAGAAGCGGAAGGTGAATCTTGACGATGATGACCGCTGGCTTGAGGCGGAGTTTGACGAGAAAATCCGGACTCCAGAAGAGCGCTACGCCTTTCAACGGCAACGTGAACTGATGAAGTCCATCATTAACAAGATGCGCAATGAACATGATGAGAAGCTTGGAGCCGCTGTGGCGAAGCACAACGAGAAGATTGATGCCATTAAAGCTCAAATGGCTTCACTGGAAGAAAAACTGAAGGAAATTGGCAAAGAAGATTAGGATGCTTTTGTATGGCTCTGTGTGTCTGTGTGTGTTTGTGTGTGTAGGAATCAGGGGACGCGGAGGCGTGCGAACGCTGGACAACGCAATGACTACAATGTCGTCTGCCGCAGTTGTTTTGTTTTTTGTTTTTTCCGTAAGTTCCCTTACTTTAAAAACGAATTTATCATACAAAAGGACAAAGGATGAGGAATAAAACGAGTGAAAGGAGCAAAAATGAAAACGTAAAAATATATCTATCAATCTATATCTATCTATCTATATCTATATCCATCTATATGTATATATTTATTTAAGTGTCTTTTGTGTAGCGATACGAGAAAAAAAAACAACGGACAATCATGAAAGTGATTTTGACAACAAATGAATTTATTTATTTATTTTTGAGTCTTAATTATTGCCTATGTTTTTTTTTTTTTTTGTTTTTTTTTTTTTTTTTTCTTCTTCTTCTTTGTCGTTGTTGTTGTTGTTCTTGTTTCCAAGTAACCGCATTACAGTCTCGACGTTTTTGTTGTTGTTGTTTACGGTAGGGAATTAGCAAGTAGAAGAAGCTGGTAATGTGCTCATATTAAAATATGTGGGATTACCAGAGGCTTTTTCTTTTCTTTACTTGATTTGTTTTTTGCGTTTCGTCTCCCCCTCCCCTCCCCCCTCTGCAATGTCCGATGCGGGTATCACGCAGACTGATGCTTCTGCATCTCGAGAAAAGGGGATGGAGAGGGGGGGGGAAAGAATGCAGAGATGTCGGTAGAAGCTAAACATTTTTTTATTTATTTATTTTCTTTTCTTTTTGTTTATGTTTGACTTTTTCTTTCTTGGGGCTGACTTAACTTAGATTATGAACGCCGGGGCAGAAGCAAATCCTCTCTGTTATTAGTGTGGAGCATTTCTTCTGTGTGGCTGATTGGTAGTGGAGGTAAATAGAAATAAAGTTGGCGCTGTTTCCAGGGTTAGTAGTGGATGGGAATTGAGCCGTTATGGCAACGAGTGGAAAGGAAAGTGGGGTAGAGGCGGGGTGGGGGGATCTGATCGCAAAAGTTCAAAAGTGTTCGTGTCGGCGTGCATGTGCGTCTCTGCATGTGTCCTGGAGGGCGTCATGGGCGTTTTGCAACTTTTATTCTCTTTCACTCCTTTTCTTTTTTCTTTGCATGCACCGTCGCCGTGGAAAAGGGAACCAACACACGAGTAACTGTGAGGTGGAGGTGGGGAGAGCGCGGCAATTGCGTGCCTTCTTTTTGGCTTACGTACATTTCGGTTGCATCGTTGTTAAAAGGGAAAAAAGAGTGAATAAGAGGTCAAGGGTGTTTAGCCTGTTGTAACGAGCTCTGATGTCAGGTGGAAACATTACCATGAGGGTGGCTGAGATCAATGAGGAGAACATGAGGGAGCGAGGCGGAGAAGTTCCGTTTTCGTTTCTTTTTTCTACGTCGCAGTCCGGCGCCGCTGCCGCAGAAAGCGCTCCAAAAACATCGGATCAGTGGTTATGGTATTTTTACCTCACGGCCTGGTCACACCCCTTTTTTCCCCACAAGCTGCCGCCACGTCCCTTATGCACGGGCGAAGGCAATAACAAAAATAGTAAGAAGGGGAATTCGAGGGATGTTGGTTTGTCTTTTGAAGAGTCGCTTGCGCTGGTGGGATTCCCCGCGGCAGATTTGGTTGCGGCGTACGATGCACAGTGGCATCTGCAATCGCAGACATCAGAAGCGGCCGAGTTGCGAGCAAAGTCTCTGACAAGGGTTGGGAGCGATTGCATGTATCCGCTGATTCCTCGTGTAGTTGAATCAAGCTTCGGGCGAGTATTTCGAGCTCTGGCTGTCCACGAATATATTTCCGCGGCCGCATCGTCATCGTCATTGTTGACATCATCTTCCAGCTCTGTGGAAAAGTTAGTTCAAAAAGCCCTGGGAGTCGCACGTCAAAATCATCAGCAGGACGCGGAGGAAAATGCAGGGAAGATTGTGACTGAAGAGAAGGCGATTGAGAGTGCCCTGCAAAAGATGTTTTCACCAGATGCCAAAACGTCACAATATCCACTTTTATTCACCTTGGAGGGCACAGCCCCCAAGGATGGCAGTGAGGGTAGTACGACGAAGAAAATGGAGGAGGAGAAAGAATTTATAAAGGAGGCCAATCGCGCCCGTCTATTTGCCGCTCTCACCGTGGAGGTATTTTCTCGGGTAAAACAGTTGTGTGCTTGCATGTTATTGGCATTTGTCAATGCCAGTGGTGGTAAGGTGGCAAAAGCCCGGGCATGCGGTGTTGTTGTAGGTATCGTGGAATACGCTATCGCGTACCGCTGCTACCGAGAAGATGGCACGGGGCGTTGCCCGTTGACCGCAGCGGTGCTTCTTTTGTGCAGTCTTGTGGAGGTGCAAGATATTTTGACACGTGAAAGGGTTAAGGAGATTGGGAAGGAGGAAAAAGAGGAAGAGGAGGGGGTGTCGGGAGGCCTGATTGCCACCATTATAGTGGCATCTCTGCAGGAACTTCTCTTTGCTGCCGTTGTGGGCGGCCCAGTGGCACCGCATCGCCTTCCACCTGGTGTGGCACCTGGCGCGCCAAAGTCACTGGGCAAAACTTCTGCAAAGAATAAACAGCAACAGCAAGAACCCTTTTTTGAATGGACTGTTCGTCCTGCAGTGTTGCGCGCGCTGGCACTACACGAGGTCGATGCACTCCTCCGGGTACTACTGCCAGTGTTGCTGCAGCAAGTAGGGTTTGAGTGGCCCTGGTCAGAGTGTCTGCGACGGGCGCGGCTGCTGGAGAGAACACCGCAGGAGAGTGTGACAATATTGGAAGGAGTGCGGCTTAGCACTCGGGCGGTGTTTGATGAGCTTCTGGCTGCCATTGGGCGTCGTACATATGTGTCACGCCTTCAAAATCTCTTGCCGCAGAGCTACGAGTCGTTGTTTGTTGCTGCCTTTCCAGCAGAGGTAGAAAATGACGGTGGGGCACACAATGATGGCGATGGTAAAGGCAATGAGAATGCGCAACGACCCCTTTTTATACTGCCCAAGTATTACAAGGCTGCCGGGGAGGCGCTGATTGCGTTTTTTGCGACTTCCGGGCTCAGTGGGACGACGGTGAGGGAGACGGAGCGAGTGCTGGTTCGCAACGCGGATGTGCAACCCATGATTGTTCAGCTCCAAGCTCTCGGACGTCGCACGGATGACATGGACGACAATGGCGAACATAATCAACTCACTGAAGACAGGAATCTACTTTCTACAGTACGCCTCTCTGACAGTGAGAAGCAGAAATTACTGTTGCGTTACCGCTGCGAGGTGCTGTTGGCTTCCATTGTGGTGTACACACAGCTGCAAACCCTGAGCCTTGTTCAGCAACTGGTACGGCAGCTGGCACCTCTTATTGAGAAACTGTTGTTGCCGCTCATGCAAGAGCGCACGTTGCGGCGTCCCTTTTTGACCAGACGCAAGAAACATTCTCTGAGTGATGACGGTACTTTGGACGAAGGGAATGTAGAGTTCACACCGGAGTTCAAAGTACTTATGGACGACATTCACTACGAATTTTATCCGCTTGAATGGATTCCGGAAGTTTTGAACGCACAATTGACGGGGGGCAGCTCAGAATTGGATGACTCAAAACTCGCATTCTACTCGGTTTTTGCCTCAGTGGCGTACCAGTTTGGAATTGTTCTCCACGGGGGTCCGCATGGGCTGCGAGGTGGCGATGACACGGACTACAAGGACCGCGTTAAGGCGTACCGTTTTTTCCATGTATTGTTACTGAACAGCCTGGTTGATGCCGTGGCATCTTCTTGCGAGTTGGAGGGTGCGATGGCATTGGCGGCGACACGTCGTGTTGGAGGAGCCCACCGGCAGAATCATGGTAATGATATTCTCAATGATGAGAACAGCCAGGCACTCCTTGCGCAATGCGGGGCGGCCTCTTTTCATGCGGTTGTGAATCCAGCAGATGTGGTTTTTGCACTGGCGCAGTGCCTTCTGCCACCCAAATTGATTTTAAGCCCCAAAACTGCGATGGTGGGGCTGGATGATGAAAACCAACGTCCATGTGAGGGGTGGTTGCGTCGTGTCATTGAGTGGGCACAGTCGACACGAACTCAATGGACGATGCAGCGGCAAAAGGTGGCGAGGTCAACGGTGCCCCTTGCGTTTTTGCCCAATAGCCTGACTTTCGACGCGGTCCCACTTGCCCGTGAAGTGATTCGCGGTCTTCGGCGACGGTTGGTTGAGAAGATACATGTCAAGAAAGTGTTTTCCACAACAGGGCAATGCTCCCTTTCCGATCCACTTCTTCAACAGCATCTGCTAAGTCTTCAGTCGCTCCTCGAGACTCTTGCTTTGCTGCCGCAACACTCCAGTGAGAACAACGCGAAAATGTTCTCAGCAGCAGAATTGTTGTGGTACTCGCCGCTTTTTTCATGCGAGCTGCGACTGAGTGGTCACTTTTCAACGTGAGCGCATAGAAATAAGTTTAAATTGAGGACTGTGGCGTTGTAGGGAATGGGAAAACAGGGAGTGGTGGGCAAAGACGCAGTTCACATGGAGAGAGGGCGTTTGCTTGGGCGGTGGGGGAGGGCAAATACCGTGTTTGCCTTTATTTATTTATTTATTTTTTTTATTTTTTTTTTGGGGTGCTCTGTTTTTCTCTCGCCTTTCACTGCCATTGGGGGCGGCATATCAATATAGTGACTAGGGCTCTATGCTCCCCTCATCCTCACATCGCGGAGCGGAAGACGCGGCCGAATCCCTGACGAATTCTGCTCCCGCTGTCGCCCTAAATGCCATTGACACTCTCTCTGTGTCGGAGCTGCGCGCTGGGATGCAACAATTTCTCCGCTCGAGTGGCGCTTTAGGGTCTCTGAAGACACAACTTCGCAGTGTCATCGTTTCTGAGTTGTTGAAACGACGGGGGCCTTCCCAAAAATCTTCAGCAGTTCGACACGGACGTGATGCGGAACACGAAGAGGATGAGGTCGAGGATGATGCTTGGACCCAACGCCTTGCAGACGCGCTCGTGGAAAGTCACCTACGACACACGGGCCGCTCCTTTTCACTGGCCATCTTCAGCAGCGAGGCGGACGTCTCATTCGGATCGAGTGGAGACGATGCGCTGGCGGGAATGCTGCACCTCAACACATCCGTGGCGTTACGACGGAGGACAAGTCTTTTGCATTCGGTCCTGGAGATATATTTGCGGCAGATGGGTGACAAACGTGGACAGCCGCCAGGGTACGCGGTAGGGACGCAGACCGACATGTGTGAAAAGGAACTGTCACCGCCACCACTCGAGCTTCGTCTGGCCGCTGTGGACGCGAAGTATGCACTTAGTTTTTCACGTCTTCGTGAATCGACACGGGAGGAAGTGGACCGTCGTATGGCCGTCTATCGAGAAGAACTCCGGGTGCAGATGGAGCAGGGGTACCAGCAGCGGCTGCGAGCATTTGAGCAAGAGCAATTAAATGAGGCTCGACGAGCCGCTGAGGAGCACTACGGGGTTCTTTTGCAACACAAAATGGAGGAGATGCGAGAGTTGGAACGGGTGAGTGTGCAACGCATAGAGGCTGAGCGGGCACGGCTAGGGCAGGCCCGTGATGATCTGGAGATTCAGCGCGTTGAACTGGAACGGCGACATCGTGACTTGCATGGGCTTCTGGAAGAACGTGACAAGGCGATTGCCGCAACAGAGGGTCGACTGCACGATGCGAAGCAGCAGATAAGTGTATTGACTACTCAGTTACGAAAATACGAGGAGCTTTGTGGTGTTAGACTTGCCGAGGCAGACGCCGCGCGAGATCGTGAATGGAGGAGAGTAGAGGACCTGCGTCGTCTTCAAGCCGAACATCTTGCGGAGTTGCAACTGAAGGATGAAGAGATCAGCCGCTTGCGATTTCGGCTGAAGTCAATCCTTGCAAACCACGGCGTCACCAGCTGGCGGGAAGAGGCGGGAGAAGAGGCTGGGCGGGAGCAGGCAAACACTATTCGTGAGGCGCTCACACGGGCCAACGCATTTCAAGAACGCGTTTCTGCCGCGTATCATGTCCCGTCACAACAAAAGCAGCAAGCGAGCGAAACCTGGCATTCCGCATGGCAGCCCACTGTGCCCCCGGAGTTGGAGAAGGCGGTGGCGGTGGACGTAAAAAGTCATCCCACAGAGCCGCAGGTTGTGCCTCAGTTCAAGACATGCGTTTCCGCGAGCCATCAGGAGCAACAAGAAGAAGAACAGCAACAACCGCAAGAGCGGAAGAAAGAGGAAGTGAAGGAAACTATTGCGCCATTTTCTCCTCCTAATACGACTCTTGTGTCTACTGCTGCTGAACCTGTCAAAACCGCTACGGATTCCACCTCACCACATCACCAGCTTGTCGGTATGACAATGTCGTCTCAGGCGTTTGGAGGGAGGGAGGGTAATGGAGAAAAGGAACGAAAGTATAGTGTAGGCGCGGAACACAGCAGCAGTGGTAGCTGCAAGACGGACGGGAAGGTGGTTGCTGTTATGAAGGGAACGTCATCTTCATCCTCATTTTCTTGCGCAAACCCAAAACAATCTCGCGACTCCGCTATTTCTGACGATTTGAAGATTCAATCAGCATCATCATCTTCACCCAATTCGTCTGTACATTCCTCTTTTTTGAAGTCAGCACCAGTGGGCAACCAAGCATCCATCATCACCACTACCACCGCCACCGCCCCTCCAATAGAAGAGGGGCGGGATGTTCTGTATGAAGAAGAGAAGAGAGGACGCACGGTCGTTGAAGCCGATGAGGACACAGCCCGTCGTGGAATTTTGTGGGCTTTCAAGGCGCAGCACACAGTGTTGTTGCAACGACAAACTGCAGAAAAGAAAGAAAAGTACGACGACGGCGGTGGGCGTGGCACCTCGTCGTTGGACACCTACATAGCCCAGGCTCGTCAACGCCAAAAGGCAACAGAGAACATCATGATTACACGTGACTCCGACGACGATGTTGACAGTGACATTCTCTTTGGTAAAAGGGAGAGTAGTGAAGAGTCGTTTTAATGTTTTTCTCCTCTCCGTCTGTGAAGGATGAAGAGTGAGGGGATCATAGAAATTTTTATTGTTGTTTGTTGGTTTTGTTTTTGCGCATGTGCGTTGAGAGAAGCTGCCCAAACAAGCAAAAAACAAAACTGGATGAAGAAGAAAAAAATGGCGTGAGAGATGGACTTGTTGTAGCCTCGAAGTGACGGTTTTTTTTTTTTTTTTTTTTTGATGATTGCAGCATATAAGGGGCCCTTTCTTTTGATGCCTCTTCAATATATATATATATATATATGTTTATGTGTATGTGTATGTGTGTGCAATCTCTCCCTCTTTCTGGTGATTTAACGATGGAAGATGATGTTTGTTTAGGAGGGCGCCGGGAATTCAGCGACGTTTTCTAAAATGCCGACTGGTCCGTCAGTGACGCTGCAAAGAGTTCACGGGATCACGCCGCTTGTGACGGCCAATCTCATTCCGCTTCCTTCCACGACCAGCACCCCGCTAGCGGGCAAAGGTGTACGACCATCACCGGTCTCATGTGAGACACTCAGCAAAACAGCAACTCCTAGCAGTGTTGCTGCAGAGAACGCATCCAACAGTCACTTAAAAAACGGCAGCTTCACTTCTAACCGCATGGTCGCCTTGGGGGAAATTTTCACGGAAGCGTCAGAGATGGCGAGAACAGGGGGCTTACCAGAACGAAGGGACCCCTGCACTTTTGTCTCTAAGCGTATTGTGTCAAACAAAAAAAATTATATACCCGAAGTTTTCGTTTCGTGGCCGCGCTTTGCGAGTGATGATGACCCACGAATTATGGATGAAGCCACGTCCAGAAAAGGTGGCCCTCAGTCCATTGATGGAACACCCAGCAACTCTTTCAGCAGTGTTACAGACGAGTGTGTTGCCGTTCGAGTCCCATGTCATGACGACCATTTTAAACAGGTCCATGACATTCGTGGAATAAAGTCGGGCTCATTGCCGCCGACTAAAGCTTTGGAATTGACGGGTACTGTTCCTACGAGGGAAGAGACAAATCCCGGTTTGCATGTTTCTTCATTCAATACGATTTCGTCTACTCCACACCCTTCTCGAGATAAGTGCTTCAGTGTGTCACACGTGGCCTTCCCCGTTACAGTCAGGGATAGACAAAATTTGTCGCTCATGACAGCCAAAAGCACTACTTTTGAGCGTCGCACGGTGAATACCCGTTCACCGCGCGTTGTGATGCGGGAAGAGTGAAAAGCGCCCGAAGCCAAACCGCAGGGAAGGAAAGAGAGAACGGGCAACAGTAAGGACGAGTTGTAGTCTCTCTCTCTCTCTCTCTCTGTGTGTGTGCGTTCTCAGCGGCCGTCACATTTATTTTTAACTGCCGTACCGCTGGAAAAAGCGATCAAGGCGTGAGTTTCCTTTTTTTTTTTTTTTTTTTGGCGTGTCTTCTGAAACATCTGGCGCTTGTGTGGGAGACTGACAGAAGTGGCAACGACAGTGGGTTGGAGAGCGTGCCCAGAACCCTGCGACGCCATGAGAATCTGTCTTTGGGCTCGCCGGGTTCTGGCGGGCCATCATTGCGGGTGTCACAGGGAATGCTATCCACGATGTCCACAAACACACTGCGTACACGACGTCCTCCCGGTGTCTTGGGCAACTCAAGATGGGACAAGCGGATTTTGTATATTCAAGCGCGGGAACGGAAATAACTCTTTGGATAAATAACTGCGACACGCTCAGGCAACGGAAAGGAGAATGCGAAAAAAAAAAAGGGAGAATAGGTGCTGGGGGGTGGAAGAAGGAATGAATACCCCCGCTGAGGAAACCCGACGGCGTATCTGTAAATATGTTGTTGGGTCAGCCGCTTGTCAAGGGGAATGGGAAAATGAGAGCACGGAAAAGGCGAAAATAATTTTATGGGGAGTCCAACTGTGGATTTACATGCAAACGAAATTATCTAATATTTTTTTAATGAATAATTTCAAACAAGCAAACAAAAAAGAGATACAAAGGATGGGTCAATAAAAGAAGCAGAATGAGAGACAATTTAAACCCTGACAGCAGAGAGGGGAGAGGGGGGAGGAAGACGACATGGATTAACACTCTTTAGGATATGTTGTTTCCCTTCGACATATGTATGGGTTCCCCAATCTTGGCGACTCGGTTAAATTACAGAAAGACACAATTTTCATACGTTTACATGTATGTTTATATTGGTACAATTCTCTTTGCAAATGTATGCCATTTTTGATTTTTTCAAATTATAATGTGCGTGCTCCGTGCCTATGAGCGATGTGTGGCGCGCTCGTTAAATACGCCGAAAAACGCGAACGGATTTCAAAGAGTGGAGAAAAATCCACATGGCGACGCTTGAAGATGACAAATACGCATATATGTTGTGGGCGACGTATGTTTCTTGAGAAAATTGTGAAGGGAGCATGGATGATAATGAGGACTTGTCTATGACTCTCTTCTGGATGAAGGTTCTTATGTTGATTTATTTATTTATTTATTTTTTCGGTTCCACTCTGGTGAATTATGAACGAGCCGTGATTGAGCCTCAGGGAATTGGTGATTTCTTGACCTTGCCACCCTAACCTGCCCTTTGGCCCTCTTCGGACACGCCTCGCTGCGGGCTTCCCGGGCCATTGGATATGTGTGCAGAAGGCCCAAGGAAGCCGCCAATTTTTAACTGGCACGTGCGGGTAAAATGTATTATATTCATGTATACGATTTTTTTCCTTTTTTTTTTTTTTTTTTTTTTTTGGGACGTGCCAACTGTTGGGGAATTGCTTGACCTGTTTACATTTCTTTGTGTGTAAGCTGGATGTTTATTTTTTGTTTGTTTGTTTCGTCAAGCGGCAACTTATTTGTGGGAAATATTTAAATGTTTGGTGACTATTTGTTTTGTATTGTTTTGCTTTTATTTCTGCTTATTTTTTACTTATCTTTTTCTTTTTTTGGGTTGAAGCCCTCCCCCCTGCCAATGATGACTGCTCCGCGCCTTTTGCGTTGGAGGAAATACTCTTTAGAGGAACAGAAGGAAGAAGAAGAAAAAAAAAAAAAAAAGGATAAATATTTATTTGATATATGAAAACGAACAGGTGTTAAAAGAGCACAGGGAAAAAGTACGGGAGAAACATGTCCTGGGAACAGGAGAATGCCTCCAAGAAGCATTTGGAAAGGGCATAAGTTTTTTTTTTTTTTTTTGCGTCAATTACCCACTTTTATTTATTTATTTATTATTTGACGACGGTGATTCCGTTGTTTTTTCTTTTTTTTTTTTTTTTTTTTTTTTTTTTTCTTTTTTCTTCTTTTTGATCCATTGACCTTCAGGCCGTTTCTCGTTGACACATCGCGCGAGAAGAAAATATTTTTGTGTTGTTGTTTTTTTCTCGTTTTTGTTTTTTCTGAAGGGGATTGGACGAGTGGAGGTTGTGTGTATTGTGGCTTGTGTTTTGTTGTTGTTTCTTGTGGTGCCGTGGAAGTTTTTATGGCTTTATTCCGGTCTTTTTGTAGCCTCATGGTCATCTCCGTTCCTGCTCACTCACACACACGTTTTCTTTCTCCCTCACTTTCCTTTTTTTCGTTTTGAATGGAAAGGCTTTGGAGGAGACGATGCATCGGCGGGCGAAGGAAAAGCGTTCGCCTTTAGTGAAGCGTGCAGGTGCGGGGCTGCCACCACCATCGCCAGTTGTGCCTTCTTCAGTGGCTTTGGATCGTGATGCCAAAGCACTGCAAGCGATGTTGCAGGAGATGGATGAAGTTTTTTGCGTTAATGACGGCGATAATGAGCGGCAACGGCGATTGCATCAGATAGGGGAGCAGCAGATGGCTTTACAGCGTCTCTGCGAGGCAGCACTCCAACAAGAGGAACGTCTCAATGGTGCCGCAGTGCGCCATAAGGCGGCCAATGAGTTTGCGGACGACAGGCCCGTTGATGCGGGCATTGTGTTAACCCCACGCTCCCTGGAAAGTTTTTCGACTTATGGCGATCCGGGTGCAACGGGGATGGGGCGCAGCGCAAGCCGCAACGAAACTGGCTCGCAGATTATTTCAGCGCCACCCTTACCATTGTGCGAACTAACCAAAGAGGCTTCTGCCACCAGAAATACGGCAGCATCTTTTTGTAGCTATCGACGTCGCATGCCGCCGGCACATATAGAATCTCCTGCAGTGGCGACCGTTTCTGCCGGTATAACGTTGGGGCGGACTTCATTACCTCCCTTGTCCTCGCCAGCTTTAGATGAGGACGTTGCGTTAGAGGAAGACAGACGTCTCATTGAGGAATTTTTGGGTGTGATGCAAGTAGAATCCACTCATCCGTATGCGGCAGTGGGGAACGAGAGGAGAGATTTGGTTAAAGAGGTTGTGCCAAAGCTGAAACTTCAACGTTTTAGTTGGAACCGGGGTACTACTCACAATACCCCTGTGAATTCCAGTCCTCTCGCCCGGGATGCATCGCACGAGGAAAATTTTGATGTGAGGGAGGAGGAGCAATTGCTAAAACGTATCATGCAGAAGGAGCCAAGGCCCCCAGAAGAGCCGTTACAGGGCGCCCACGCGGGTTCCGTCTCTCGTTCTAGCGATGTTCCGAAAGACGTGAAACGTCCCACACCCAAAAAGGAAAAAATGTTGCACGGGGAAGAGAGGAGTTTCTCCACACTATCCGGTACGAATGCGGCACCGAGTCACAAAAGCGGTAAGCTTTGCCTCACAGCTGGACCACTCAATGGGGAACGTATAGCTACGGGTCCCGAAAAGGAAAATTATGAAGATGTGAAGTTTACCCATGCCGGCGAGATTCAAGAGTTGTTAAGGAAAAATGGGGAACTGCAGAAGGAAATTGAAGCACAAGATGTTGCCCTTCGGGATTTGACGCAAAAAACAGAAAGTCTTGCCCGCCATCTTGTCAATTCCATGCGAGAGCGCAACAAACTTCATTCAAGTGTGGAGCGACTAGAAGAATCACTTGCACGCGCAAATTCCGAGCTTAGAAGGTTTCAAAGGGTGGTCGAGGAGCAGAACAAAGTGTCTTGTGGTGTGGATGTATGGCGTGCGACTGCGCATGCCAAGGAGCGTGAGTTGCGTATTTGCGAGGAAGAACTCAGTCTTCTGCGTGGTATCGTTGAGCAACGTGTCATGCGCTCTGGAAACGTGGTGATGCAACAGGCAGGTAGCACGGCTCTCGCTCAGGTGAAGAGCGATGTAGAGGATCTAATTATTGAACTTGCCTCCGCGCATGTTCTTAGGCGTGAGGCTGAAATACATGCGGAACGCGTCTCAGAAGAGCTCGAGGCTGCGCAGTCACACATACAACTGATTGATAATCGTTTGGCCGAGGCGGAGAAGATTGTGGCATTCCAGAGATTGCAGGAGATGCGGGAACGTCTTCTGTCTGGCAATGATATGTCACTGGCTCTGCCTTCATTGCCGACATTGCCATCTTTTTCGATGCTATTGGAAGGTAATGTTGCAGCGTGGCCGATAGACGCCCGACGTGAAATTGCACGTCTAGCGAACTATGTGGAGAGTCTTGTGGCACAGCATGCTGAAAGCGATCGTTACGCCGAGTTAAGACTGTCGGAAATACGACGAGAAAATGAAGAGCTTCGTGAGCGGTGTCGGGCATACGAATCCGGAGTGAAGAAATTGGAGGACGAAACCGAGACAATTCGGCGGGAAAGGATGATGTGGAAGTTGAGCGAACAGCGCTGGCAACAACTGCTTTTAGATGTGCAGGAGGATGCAGCGCTTGTCACGGATTTGTTGCAGAACAGAGTAAAGGGTGCGGAGAAGTTTCTGGACTTTCTGACGGTGCCTCATGTGGAACATGAACTGAAGACAGAGATGGAGGCGTTTTTGAAGAACGCAATGCGTGACTGGGATACGGCTGTACGTTTTACCACGGCGCTACAACGCATGGAAATTGGTAGCTCAGAGCTGCAGAAACAAGAATGGACGGAGAAATTCCCACTGTCGACCGCCACCAGAACACGAAGAGAATTTGTCTTGCAGGCAATCGAGACGGCGATGGCGCAGAAGGCGTCATCGAGTTGTGCTTCAACACAACCTAAGCCACCAAAAGAGGGTCAGCGCCTTCTTGCACCTGACCCGGCCTCTTTGCCCCCGTCACTTTTTCTATCTCGTACGCCCATCACGCAGAATGTAACGACGGTGGTTGATGATGAAAAGTGGAAGGAAAAATTGGAGGGTGTTAGCTGGCCATTGCATGCCCCTGAGGTGAAGCCACGGGGTCTTTCGCCGCCACGCCCATCATTCACTGAAGGAGAGTCTGTCGTTACTCGCGATGACAAGTACCAGACTGAACGGCATCGTCGGGAAGGCGTACCGATGAAGAGAGTGGAGCCACTTCAACCTCCTGCTGTGAGTCCACGCGAGTCTCTGACACAACCTTTGAAGGATCGAGAAATTCCCCTTTTTCCCCACCACTATGATCACTGGAAAATTAGAGAGGTATCTCCAACCAGAGAGATGCGTCATCCTCAGTCACGTGAAGGAAAAAAGCGTTTCCCATTTACGCCCAAAAGGGAGGAATTGAGCTTCAAAAATCTGCCAGAGGACGAAGGAACTCAGCGTGACTCAGCCATTGTGGTGACGCCCGCCGAGTCCTCTCACGGCAGCAAGGGAATTGAGGTTTTTGTATCAGGGGCCATCCTCAAAGAAGAGGGCATAGCAGATTCAACGGGAAATGAAGAGGCTGTTGTGCCTCCTGTTCATTCCTTATCAACCTGTGCAACCGAAACGCGGACGAATTGTAGTCAGGAGGTCGAAGATGTGGCCGAGCCACCTGGCCGTGAGGGTAATGCAGGCCTACGCAGTGTCACCCCAACGACGCCGGTCGTTCCCGCCGTCACCAGTACTAACACTTTTTTTATAGCCGCAGTCAAGACAGTTGAGGGTTGTGTTTTAAGTGGTGAGGAACCACGTCTGCAGACAGCGTTGGGGCAGCGCCTGCAAAGAGATGATGCTAGTGAAAAGTTAGGGCAAGCTCCAAACTCCGCGGACATAAGGGGTAACAAGGATTTTCCGACAATTTTGTTTCCTGATTCCATGCTTGAGAGCAAGAAGAATAAGAAAAAATTAAACAAATTAAGCAGGGAAGATTGGAATGATGATGTAGATGATGCCAACAACGAACCACGGTTACATTTGGCGGCACCTATTCGAAGGAGCGATCAGACGGAAAAGGTTTTCCAGCATGAGAATTCAAGCTCTTATTCACCCATGGAGAAGTCTAAAGAGGAACCATTGATGAATGAGCCGAACAGAGCGGATGACACGGAGAAAGAAATGAGCCCCATTCTTTCCTTAAACAGTAAGACTAAGCCGATGGCAATGCCAGATGTTCGAGAGAGCATTAGGGGAAGTTCCGGGCACGTACCAGCTCTTTCGCGTTCATTGCTTGACACGCAACAGAGTCGTCTTGCTCCTTCACTACAGGAGCCACGGCAATTTACTTGCAAGACGCCTGTCACCCAAAAACTCTCGGAGGAGGCGGAAACGGCAGTACAGAATTCTTTCACAGAGGAATCGGTGGCAGTTCTACAAGAGACAGAAAAAGAAACCGCACCGGTAGTGGGAGAATCCTCCGATCCGGGTGGACGACGCCGGCCATCGGCGGTGATGGACTTCCCATCACTTCGTCACTCGGCCCTTGGTCCCGGTGGGCGAAGGCAACTAGACGTACAGAAAATATAGGCGATACAATGCCTGTAGTGCGCCCGAATGGGCCAAGTTGGGCGGTCAGGTGAGGACAGGAGTGAGGAGTTTTGACCTGCCAATGTGTGTACCATATTAAAACATATTTGCTTGTTTGTCTGGCTATACTCCAGAGTGCAATTCTTGCTCTTTGTATTATTATTGTTGTTATCATCATTATTTTTTGGTGAGTATGGCTCGAATATGGAAAATAAGAATTCTACGTTCCCCCAATATCTCTTTTGTTTGTTTGTTTGAGTGCGGTGAAGCAGGCTTTCTATCCTTGCTTTCTTTTGTTTCATGCATATGCCTTTCTTCCCATAGGGGGGGGATATAATAGCAACAAGAAGAAGGAGGTGGAGTGTGTGTTGAACAATCTTGCTGTTGCCTTTAAATATTTATCAGGGACACACCCACACGCGTTGTATTTAATTCGGCAGAAGGATTACTTTTGAATGGCGGAGGGTAAGACAACGAAGGCCACAGCGGCTTTGTCGTCGTCATCCTCGTCGACATCAGGGGCAGAACGACGAAAGCCCCTCGAAGATGTTATTTTATCCCCAGAGTTAACGCATTGCCCTTTAACTCCGAAGCTTTATTTGGTGGGTGGAGGAGAACATGCTGAGGCTCGACAAACACGATTGCGTAGTCAAGGTGCTACACGACAACACAAGAAAAGGACGGATCAAAAGCTTACAAAACGCTTGTTGAAGGCACGAGGAATAAAACGGAAAGATGAGGATGATATGACAAAGCATCGTGTCACGGAAAAAGCTGCCATTTCATCCTCTGCGACATCGAGTGAGAAACAGGCAGAAAGTAGCGCAATCTCTGAACGTGACTCGTTGCTGGAGAGGTTGCGAGAAAAAGAGCGTCAGTTTGATGAGAAAATTACAGCGCTTGACGAAACACTTTCGTGCGCTGAAAGGGGCCGCCTGCAGCGAGACAGCATTATTGATGGCCTCCGCGCGGAGGTGACACGTCTGCGGGCACAGCTGGAGCTTGCCGCTGGCGCCAAGAGCCAGGCAGATGAGCTTCGTGAAAAGATTCTAAAGGAGAGAACAGTGGCGCTGGAGGAGGCGCATGCGAAGATAGAGGCACTTCACGATACCATTCGTGAAAAGAATCAGCGGATAAAGCATTTAGAAAGCGAGTTAAAGCTGCGGCAGGCCGCCATTGCTGCTCAACCTCAACAAAAGTTGGTAGTCACAACGACGGCGGAACGGGTAAAAGTGCCGCAGCTGCAAAAACAGGAAGAGCAAAAACAAGGGATGCTGCGAACGCTTAGCCCAAATGTTGTTAGCTTGGAAGAACGAGAGCGAGAACGACGTAAACGCGAGCAATATAGTGCCAATTTGCGGGCACTACAGGAAGAGGTTCAGGCGCTTGAACAACGCTACAACATCACCCGAAACGAGAAGAACGCCCTGGACGAAGAGAATTATGCGCTTCGCTCCAAACTGGAAGCCATTCAGGAGGAAATCGAAACACGTGTGGCTGGAGCCGTGAAAGCCATGCAAAGCCACGTGGACCAGAAGCGTGAACTTGAGGCTGAGGTATTAGCCACCCGTCTCGGTATGGCGCGGTTGCTTCGACTTCTCAGTGAGGTACCAGAGATGCGGCGATACCTGCGGGCGACCGCCATTGATGATGACATGCTCTTCACTGGATACACACTTGCGGCTGCAACAAGTGACCGGAAGGCAATAAGCGAAAATGCAGGGCATCCCCATTATCAGAGACGACGCAATGGTGGCTTGTCTACGCTGGCCGCTGGAACCGGTGTTGATGATGGTGTCTATGGTGGGAGCTTAATGCCGTGGTCAAGCAATATATACCTAAATGGCAAGTGGTACAGAAAATTGCAAGACATCATCGATGACGAGAACAATTTTCTACGTAGCAGGAAGATTTGTATTGGCGATCTGGAGGGTGCCGCGCGTTGCGGTCGAGGAGGGGGAGATGGTCCCCCACGTCTTCCGCCAGCTTCTGATGTGTTACAAGGCCGTCAAAATGACAAGGACTTTTGGATTCCGTATGCCGTTTTTGTAGAGGCTCAGAAGTTTAAAAATCGTTACTTCCCAGCTCTCAGCTATGAATGTTTTTATCCCTTCCTTATTGCTGTCAACCAGGTATGGAACGAAAAGACGAAACGTCGTGTGGCGATAGAGACCCGGCGACGCCTCTATCTGCAGCAGCAAAAACAAGAACAAGAAAAACGTCACCGTGCAGCAAAGGAGCAGACGGATGATGCCTTTTACTCCAATGATTGCTTGCGTCAAATGTCTTCATCGGCCCTGAGTTTTCAGCAGCAACTTCAACAGTTGCGACATGAGGTGCGCCGACGGGTAACGGGAAAAAATAGCCTTGAATTGTTCCATGCGTATGATTATTTGATAAAGTGTGCCTTGAAGCATCTGCGGGAGGTTCAGGAGGAGCACGCTGCTCTGTTGAAGCGAAATCAATATTCATTAAGGTCCGTGTGCGTCCCAAAAGAAGAACATATTGATGAGGAAGACAAGGAGCGCATGATAAACGAGGAAGGGGGAGTGGGTATAGTTGATTTTGGCAATGAAGCCTTTTTCCTCCTGCGGCGTGCACTCTCAGCGCTTGCAGAGGAAGTTCGGGAGATTAGTGAGCGTTCCGCGTCACGTATTGAGGCTTCCTGTCGAGACATGCAGGAGTTTCTCGGAGCATTGCGAGACCAGAAGCTTCGGACAATTTCATTTCAGGAACAACAACAACAACGGTTGGGAGAGGGAGACAGTGCTGTTCTCTTGCGCACGCAAACATTAGATTCCGTTCCGGTGTCAACTTTGCTTCGTGTCATTGAGGGAGTACTTGATTTTGTGGACGAGGTGCAGCGGGAGGTGCTTGCGGCACGGAATGCCATGTCTCGATGTGCAACACAAGCAGACGAGAAATCGGAGCTTCTCTTTACACCTGCTGCTGTAGATGATGGGAGCGGAGCCGAATATGGTGAAGAAGAAGACGAGTTGGAGATGGCGATGGACGGTTAAAAACAATATCCGAAGGGGTGGCGAGGAAGGCGGCAAGTTGTTTCATGGCCCTCTTGATGTTGGAAGTGCGATGGCCTGTTGAAAATATGTATTACATGGTAGAATTGATGGGAATTGTGGCCTAGAGATAGAGTATTTTGTCCAGTACATTACACGGTGGGGAGGGCAAACAAAGAAGGCGGGGAAGAGATTCTCTTGTGGCGTTTCTGCGTGCCGCGGAGAAATTTTTTCTCGTTTGTTGCTGAAGAATTACTTCTCCCTCCAAGCACAAAAGAGGGGCGGGAGTGTTGGCTTGACTGGTGGGGAAGCGGAAGTGAATCTGGTAGGATATTCCTGCGTTTTTTTTTGGAGTGCATACGGGAATAACGATGCTGCTGCTTTTTGTTGTTGTTGCTTTGTTTTTGTTTGAATTGCTGCAGGGGAGGGGAAAAACAAAAAAAAAAGAAGAAGAAGAAAAAAAAAAAAAAGGAACGCCATAATCACCGACAACAAAGCAAAAGAGGAAAAAGAAAAGTACCAAAAATAGGTAAAAGGGGGATGAACAATATTGCAAACTTGCTTCGGGCTCAGACGGGAGGAGGGAATGCACGCGCAGTGCCGACGGAGGATTTGCGCGACACGGCCGAAACGGTTCAGATCTCCTCCCTTGCACTGCTAAAGATGCTTTTGCACGGCCGGGCGGGGGTGCCACTGGAGGTTATGGGGCTTATGATAGGCGAGCAGGTTGACAACTACACAATCCGCGTGACGGATGTATTTTCTATGCCCCAAACGGCGACTGGCCAGTCCGTCGAGGCGGTGGACCCAGAGTACCAGGTACACATGCTAGACAAACTCTCTGTTGTGGGCCGTTCTGAGAAGGTCGTCGGGTGGTACCACAGTCACCCCGGCTTTGGTTGCTGGCTTTCTGGGGAGGATGTAATGACGGCAGGCAACTATGAACAATTGACCCCACGGAGTGTTTCTGTCGTGATTGATCCCATTCAGTCGGTCCGTGGAAAAGTCGTAATTGATGCCTTTCGCACCACCAAAGATGCGCTTATGGGAGGAAGAAACATGTACGAAGAGCCGCGTCAAACCACAAGCAACCTCGGCTGGCTGACACGACCGTCGCCCGTTGCGTTGACCCGTGGTCTTGACCGTGATTACTATAGCCTTGCCATCACATTCCGAAAGAAGAATCATGAGTTGGCGTTGCTGTTAAACGTCTACAAAAAGGGTTGGCAAGAAGGTTTCCGTCTTGAAAACATGGAGAAATTTGACCGACAGACGATACGGGAAAAAATCCGTACATTGGCATCGCTCGCAGGGCAGTCGGAGCGTTTATGC